GAGGGGAAAAAAGAAAGTGGAAGGCAGCTTTAAGATTTTATGCCTAGGCCAGGTGTTGTGAGTCACACCTGTAATCCCAGCACTTTGGGAGGCTGAGGCGGGCGGATCACCTGAGGTCAGGTGTTTGAGACCAGCCTAGCCAACATGGTGAAACCCCATCTCTACTAAAAACACAAAAATGAGCCAGGTGTGGTGGCGGGCACATGTAATCCTGGCTACTCGGGAGGCTGAGGCAGGCGAATTGCTTGGACCTGGGAGGCGGAGGTTGCAGTGAGCCGAGATCACACCACTGCACTCCAGCCTGGGCAACAGAGCAAGACTCCATCTCAAAAAAAAAAAAAAAAAAAATGCCTAGATAACTGGAGGAAGAAAGTTGTTTGTGGAATTATGCTTTAGCGAATGCCTGTCATTTAGGGGTTTAGGAAAAGTAGAAAAACAGTGCAGTGATAAGCAGGGATGTAGGAAAAGAACCAGGACACTGTGGTGCCTGGGAGGTAAGGGAAGAGAATTTTGAGATTGGTTCAGTAGGTTCAGAAGCTATAGAAGGGTAGGACTGGATAAGGGCCACAGAATGTGGCTATGTCAGGGGTGCCCAAAGCACCCTCACACTCAGTGATTTGCCAGAAGCACTTATAGGACCTGGAAAAACTGTTATATTCATGGTTGCAGTTTATTGCAGCATAAGAATACAGACTAAAATGAACAAAGAAAGAGTTGCATGGAATGAAGTCCAGGAGAAACTGGGGGCAAGTGTCCAGGTGTCTCCTCCAGTAGGGTCACACAGACATGCTTAATTTTCTTAGCAATCATGTGTGACAACATGTGACATGTGTTCCCAATCAGGACAGCTCATTTGAGCCTCCTTGTCAGAATTTTAATTGGGGTCAATCTTGTCAGCATGTAATAACTTACGTGACTCATTTCAGCTACTCAGACTCCAGTCTCTAGAGCAAGAAGATTTACCATAAATCACATTTTTAGCCTAAATCCTTTAATCAGACTGTGTGGTCCAACACTTCAGGCATACAAAAAAAAAATGAATAAATAAAAAATGAAACCCACACTCTTTTTTTTTTGAGATGGAGTCTCACTCTGTCGCCCAAGCTGGAGTGCAGTGACGTGATCTCGGCTCACTGCAAGCTTCACCTCCTGATAAAACCCACACTCTTAACAGGTAGAATGTTACTCAGCTCTTAGGAACCAGCCATGGGCCAGTCCTGAAGACAGGCTGTTTGTGAGAATGTGCATAATTTGAGCACCCCACTCCTGCTGAGTTTTCTCTTTCTTGCACAGTGGTAATTAGGAGGTCATTGGTGACGTTTGAGAAAGGAGCTTCAGAGACAAGGTATGTCGGAAGCCACGGTACAAGTAGTTGTGAAAAGAGTGGTTTGTGGGAAAATGGATGAGAGAATTATATTTTAAGAAGACTGCAGATGAAAGGATAGAGAATGATAGGTCAGTAGCTTAAGGGAATTAGTAGCACTGAATTTTTTTTTTTTTCATGCAAGAAGATAAATATTTTCTTAGTAGAGGAGAGGAATAATTAGAGGGAGGGATAGAAAATGCAAGCACTGCCCAGGTGTAGTGGCACACCACCTGTAATCCTAGCACTTTGGGAGGCCAATATGGGAGGATTGCTTGAGGCCCGGAGTTCAATACCAGCCTGGGCAACATAGCAAGGCCCCCATCTCTACAAAAAAATAATAATAAAAATTAGCCAGGCATGATGGTACATGCCTGTAATCTCAGCTACTCAGGAGGCTGAGGTGGGAGGACTGTTTGAGCCCAGGAGGTCAACACTGCAGTGAGCCATGATCATCCCACTACACTCTAGCCTGGGTGACAGAGTGAGACCCAGTCTCAAAAAGCAAACAAAAACAAAAAACAAGCACAAGACCAGTGATAGGGTTTCCTGTGGAAGGGAGGAAGACACTTCTTTCTCAGATAAAACAGTGAAAAAGAACAAGATGATTAAAAATAAAAAAAGTGTAATCAAGTGGCCCAGCAGTTCTTAGGTAGCAATGACAACTGCAGTTCCTTGGTCACTAGCACACTTCCATGGATTCAGCCAGTAAGGAGACAGTGAACCCAGATGGATTTGGACAGTCACTGCTTACTGCACAGCAGGCAGCATTAGCTTTGTGTTCACATTGATTCTCCTTGTTCCCCAAGTTCAATGGTGTGATGTGGAGGTAGACTGAGGTGCATACTATGCATTCAGTGGGTCTTTGTTATAGCTGAGGGGCAGTGAGCTTAGGAACCCTCTGGTCTTATGAGGGGGCTGCTAGTGATCCTGCTCAATCTTTGTCCTGAAGGAGTATGTTACCTTATATTGCTTAGGAAACAAATCTGCCCCCTGACCTGGAGGGAGAAACTCTAGCTTCCAAGGCTGTCGGTTATACAAATGTCCTTGAACAAAGCTGTTGATGCCCCTTTTTCAGAAGGCATTTAGAAATGCTAGATTGTGGCCGTCTGACCTGCACACACTGACCTAGCGATGGATGAGAGATGTACACTGACACAGATATTTTGCCTGTCAGTGTGGCTAAGGGGGTTCTGCTCCTGAATCTGCAGTGTGGGCCCCAATAAGCTGGCGAAGTTCACATTTATTTAGTACAGATTAAATGACAAAGGCCACGAGTAAACACCACTAGTGGGTAATTAACATTGCCATCCCCTCGCCCGCCCCCAGTAGAGAGCAGTCATGCACCCACGGAAAATGAAAGGTTGGTCTTAGGACCACATGAGTAAACAAGTTATTTAGGTAAACTCCCCCACATTCCCTTGTTATTTGCTCTTTTGCTATCAACTCAAGGTAAAGAGGATTATGCTACTTTCAGCCAAATCTTTTACTGAAGCTATGCAACACCCCCGGCCTTCTAAGAAGGTTTGTGACTATTTCCTATAACTATCTTTTAATTGTTCTTCTACAATTTTTCCCACCACCCTGACTGAACTCCCACTCCAGATCCCTGGAGAATTATCTACCAACACAGACATTTATGTTTATATAAATTATATGTACATGTATATGTATGCATATTTATGAATAAAGATGAATAAAGAAATGTTTAGGTGTAGAAGAGAAGTCAAGGAAGATCACTTGGGATATATCCCCACTCTCGTGTTCTGAAACACTGGATTGAGTCAATATGATGGGATCTGTGTCTTACCTATCATTTTCCCTCAGAGACTACTACAGTGCCTTGAGCTTAGTAAGTGTTCAGTGAATGTTGAATGATGAATAATTGAAGATCTTTAACAGTTCTCCTCCTTGAAGAGAGAATGTCAACTCTCTAGATGATTACTAGAAAGTTTATTCAGCCTAAATGGTCATGTGTTGTCTGCAGTTCTGTTTGTAATATCTGTTTTACATATTGAAATGTACTGTTTTAACATAGGCAGCCTACTTTAACAATAAAATATTTTTTTAAAAAGGATAAATACTTAGGCTGGGTGTGGTGGTTCATGCCTGTAATCCCACCACTTTGGGAGGCCAAGGCGGGCGGATCACCTGAGGTCAGGAGTTTGAGACCAGCCTGGCTAACATGGAAAAACCCTGTCTCTACTAAAAATACAAAAATTAGCTGGGCATGGTGGCACATGCCTGTAATCCCAGCTACTCTGGAGGCTGAGGCAGGAGAATCTCCTGAACCCGGTTGGCGGAGGTTGCAGTGAGCCGAGATCGTGCCACTGCACTCCAGTCTGGGCGACAGAGTGAGACTCGTCTCAAAAAAAAAAAAAAAAAAGGATAAGTAACTGGATAGAAGAAGAAGGGATTTTGAGAAACATAATGGGTTTTGGAGGAATGTGCAGAGTTACATTTGGAAAATTTTTCTTATGAAATATACCTGTTTATAACGGTTAACTGTCTGTGTTTCCAGATGATGTCCTAAAATAGTCGTTCCTTGCAGCTGGTACTGAAGAGTGTATGAAAGAAAAACTCTGTAACAGATGTATCTGGTCCTGTATGAATCAATGTCTGTAGCAATGGCTTTTATATATGTGGAATCAGAAGGCTAGGAAGCAATTTTAATGTTCTGTTCTTTAAAATGGGGATACATTCAGGTTTCAGTTGCTGAGGCTGTTGAGCAGCAGTCCAGGTATGAAAATGGGAAAGATTTGACTGCTTCTCTCATGCAGAGGAATAAAGCAAAGGCACATGCAGAGGGAAGCAGGGGTGGAGAGAGGCAAGTTAGCTTCAGAGAGATTTATTTGCACCCAGTTCTGTTCTACTCAGCCTGACGTTTTATCATCTTCTTGAAAAGTGGCGTGAAGTGGTGTGGAACACATCAGAGGGTGAAGCCGAGCAAATCTGAAAGAGAGCAGAGGATTTCATATGATATCCTATGTGTGCTTTCCCCTTCCTTCTTAGGAGCTGGAAGAAGCAGAATTGATGTCCACTCAATTTCAGTTCATCTTGCCACCTTCATGTTACACTGATACTAATATATTTGAAATAAGAAGAGAACATTCCAGGCAGTTACTGTGTCACATGCAGTCATCAGTTTCTCTGCAACCCTACAACCACAGGGGATTCCACTGTTTGCTTTGACTTGGACTTCCCATAAAATAACTTTTGTTGGATTTAATGTATAATTTTTAAATTAATTACTGATTTTGTACATACATGGTATTGTATCTCTGAAAGCGCATATGAGTTTATTAGGGATTTTCAGAATTATCAACTAAGTCTGGCTAGAAAAAAAATTATCTGATGAAAAACCTTTCTGGTAACTTAATAAAAATGGGGTGATAGCAAGTGTAAATGCCAGTTAAGTTGTGGGCGCTGGTGTGTGTGAATACATGAATACATGTGTATGGTTGAAGGAAATAATTTGTGAATCATAGCTTTCCTGGTATTATGTGTCCCTTCATAAAATAGCTCAAAGTTTTCTCATGAAAAATAAATTGACATTTGAGACAAAAGTTTGAACTTCCTAGTGTTCCATTCAAATTAAATAATGTACAGCTAATGATTATTTTTGGATGCCTTTCAGAGACAGATGGGACCGTGTTCAGAATTCACACAGAAGCTGAAGGATTTATGGATGCGGATATACCTCTGGAATTGGTGTTCCATTTGCCAGTCAATTATCCTTCATGTCTACCTGGTATCTCAGTTAACTCTGAACGGTTGACCAGGGCCCAGTGTGTGACTGTGAAAGAGAAGTTACTTGAGCAAGCAGAGAGCCTTATGTCGGAGCCTATGGTTCATGAGCTGGTTCTCTGGATTCAGCAGAATCTTAGGCATATCCTCAACCAACCAGAAACTGGCAGTAGCAATGAAAAGTGTACTTTTTCAACAAGCACGACCATGGATGATGGATTGTGGATAACTCTTTTGCATTTAGATCACATGAGAGCGAAGACTAAATATGTCAAAACTGTGGAGAAGTGGGCTTCAGATTTAAGGCTGACAGGAAGACTGATGTTCATGGGTAAAATAATACTGATTTTACTACAGGGAGACAGAAACAACCTCAAGGTGCCAAAAAGTTAAATGTTGAGTATGAATCTGGCTATTTTCTGCTTAAAATGGTGTGTCTAAGTGTGTTTTGTAACAATGGGATAGATTAATTATTAAGATGTTTCTGCTTTCATTATTACCATCTTAATGGATCTTCCTTTTCTTTTTAAAGAATGTCTGACTGCTAATTACAAGTACAAACTTGCAAAGCTTGAAGAATAAGATTACATTTTAAAAATCATGTTACTTAATAAAGTGACAGGTTATTTTAAAAGCTCTGTGGCACATGAGTGTTTGTTTCTGTAATTAGCTATGAGCTTGAACTTTATAAATGTGCACTAAAAGTTTGTGCATATTAATACTTCTTCCCATAGTTAGGCACAGCAAGGTGTGTATTTGTGGATAGTCTGCAAGATTTGTAACTTTCTGGCTGTTAAAAATACATTCTGACACTTTAATTTGGTATCTATAATACCTGGAAACAGGAGCTTGTCTGTTATAACTGAGATTTCATGTTAGTAGAAGTAGAATCATTAGGGCTGTCAACTTGTCACCTCCTACCTAACTTTTGCTTTCCACCTGACTTGTCTCAGCAATTGCTTTCAAAATCATCATCTTCTTCAGATTTTTCAAGTTCTTATTCTAATCTCATCTGACCTGTTTTAGGTGGGACAAGATGAGGAAAACTTTTTTATATTTTAAATCTTAGAAGAGCTACAAATCACTTAATAGGTTTTATACTTTCAGATACGTTAGGTCACGAATAATTACATTTGAATTTATTTAAGACAAATTTAGTGTGAACAGCCTATAATCTTAAAGATTTGTAGAATAATGACCTAGTTTTTTCATGATGGGCTCTTATCACAAAACTACTTTGGCATTTGGTTAACCAGACTCATGCTGGGTTAAAGTATATAGATACAACAGTAATTCAGATTTAATACATATCTTGGATTGGGGCTGACTGAGGAACCTCTTGTTTTAAAGTGATTTGTAGTATATCTATAATGTTTGATCCTTTCGGGTAAAATAATACTGACAAAAAATAAATACAAATTAATTTTCTTGCTCATCTTTACCTAAAAGGCTCAGATTTCTCTTTAAGCCAGCTCAGGAATATTAGGCTAAACACAGCTATTTTGCAGATGTTGTTACTCAGATTGAAACATCAATTAATTAACAAGTATTTATTTATATTTACTAGAACCCTGCTAATGTAGAGAAATAATACTTTTTTAGGAGATCTTTTTTCAGCTCTCTCTAAAATGTCATTTTACATAAATTTCTCATATTTTTATAAGAATGTATACTAGGATTGAGGATGTATAGGTACGTATTTATAGATGCTATCAATTTGGAATGCTAAGTGCTGTGTGCCTGGTAATGTCATTTAGCTGCTGAATTTGTAATAGTAAGAACAGTGGCTTGTGCTCTCAAGCGTGCCGTGGCGCTATATCCAGGTACTCTTCTAGTGCTTTGCATGTATTATTTCATTTAATCAGTACAACTTCCCCATGAGGTAGATCCTGCTATTAATCCCATTTTATGGAGAAGGCAACTGAACCACAGAGGATTTAAGTAACCAGCCCAGAGTAAGAACTAGTAGGCAGTTCAATCCAGATTTAAACTTGGGGAGTTGGATTATATTGTTCTTTACTCCTGTATCCACCACTACATTATTCTGCCAAGTATGTAAAAACAAGTATGTAAAAATTCTTACTGCTTGATTTAAAAAAGGGGTATTCTTTAAGCATGAAAATAAGCCTACAGGTTTATGGCTCCTTTAAGATTCAGAGTAAGATACGTATTTAATGTACTGATTTATTATTTAGGAGTACCTGATTCTTCAGAAAACCTCCAAAGTAGATGTGGACTCAAGTGGAAAGAAATGCAAAGAGAAAATGATTAGTGTGCTGTTTGAAACAAAAGTACAGACAGAACACAAAAGGTATAATTTAGTACTATTGCAGATGGAAAAGCAACTGAATCGATAATTATACTCTGACAAACCTAGGCATATTCATGAGTTTCTCTTGTATAATGCAGGTTTCTGGCATTTGAAGTCAAAGAGTATTCAGCGTTGGATGAATTACAAAAGGAATTTGAAACTGCAGGACTTAAGAAGCTTTTCTCCGAATTTGTACTTGCGCTGGTAAAATGAAATGGAAGACAGGAATCTTTTAGTAAAATAGCAGTGTTTTTTGTTGTTTTTGCATTGGATTTTGGGAGTGGTTAATTGAAATAGTCACCAGGGAGCAATTTTAGTTTCTCTGAAGCAAAATGATAGGCATCATTCTAACTTCAGGAACAAAAGCCAGTTCTGTTTTATGAAATATTAAACATGAAGAAAACTTGTATATTCTAATGTTTGCCAGGAAAGACTAGGTTCAGTAGATGAGACATTATTTAAAAGACACATTGAAAAACACGGTAAATGAACACTTGTTTTTATAGACAATATTTGTTTGGAACTATGTAATTTTCTGGCTGATTTTCTTGTAATTAGATGATTTTTTAAAAAGAGATTTGTTTTCATGTTTACTTTTTTTATGTTTATATTTTTAGCATTTGATCACCATTTTCCACCATCCAGCTTATGTCTAATGTTTTAATAAATGTTAAGAAAAATATAACACCGATTTTTTTTTATGGAATTACATAAATTGTTAGTTTAAATACAAAGTTCTATAGAACCAGATTTACAGTTGCTTTTTGAGAGTGTTTTAGAATAGCATGATACTTGCTAGCCTTAGGACTAGAGATTTGATTCCAATTAAAATTCTTATTTGAAAAATTGAACTTCTTGTTTTGTAAGAAGAGAAATGTTCATACAGAATGAACCTGCCTTGCTAGATGGAGGAAATTATATAAAAATACTATTTTTATTATGAAATCTGTCAAAACATGGTAAAATATATTTATCATGAACTAATGAGAGAAGAAGCCATAAAGCTTATATTAAAATCTGTAATAAAATATAAGTAGACATTTATATCTCAGAAAGGATATTTGTACACATGAAGCCACCTGGGCTGCTAAAATAAGGGGCTGAGTCATGGAAGAAAGGCCAAGTGAATCCCTTTCACTGCCACCTATGAAGTATAGTGATATCATTATACAATTATAACTGATGGGGGAGGGAAGTGAGGAGAATGTGGCATGCTGAGCAGTGTTTCCTGACAGTAGTGTTCTGTGATGATGTCAATTCAATCTGATTGTCTTATTTTCAGGTACCTTTGTAATTTAATTATACCTATCTGTTGATTATTTTATGGGTTTCTTTAATGAGGAGATGTTCAGTTTATTTACTGTCATTCTAGTGTGTTGTGTGTGTGTGTGTGTGTGTGTGTGTTTTGGAGAACTGGTAAATGTAGTTAGATTATTCTATGGCAAGAGCATGTAGAACAAGGAGAAGCTACCCCTCTGGTACGCAGAACTGAGAAAATAGGCCTGAAAATTTAGGATTGCTCATTATTACCCCTTCATTTGATTTACTGAAGTTTCAGTGAAAATTAACATAACGAAAAAGAAAAGAGTGGAGAATATTGGCCATGTGGTTGAGATGGATTGAGGGGATCATGATATAAATTTTTACCTTGACTCTTCTCTGCAAAAATATGTTCCTGCTTATGCTTTCTGGTGCCCTTTTAGCCTTTCATCCTCAAATTTGACTCTTTACAGAAGAGCTTGAATCAGATCAACTTGAATGTTTGCTGTAATGACTTTCTCCAACTTAATGATATTTCTATCTGCTAAAATTATTTTTTTAAAGTATTGGTTATTATTACTTTCTTAGATGTTTACATGTAAGTCTTTCACAGATACATACACATCAGAATAGAAAACTAAATCTTGACAGAGTTAGCGACTTATATAAATGTAATTTGACCTTTGGATAAAGTAAAATTTTAAATTATATACCAAAAAGCTATGAGTCTCTTTGGTATTTCTTGAGTATTAGAGGAAGAGACTCTTAATTATTTCCATTGATATTTTTGCCTCAAACTCTGCTTTCTTTTCAGCTTGAGATACTTATGAAAAGATAATTAAGACTTCTGCTTCAGTGATGGCAGACCAGCTTTTCACTGAAGAAAACTAAAAACAAAATATAAAACACATCCTCTTAAAAAGAATCAAAGTCAATAAGACAGTGAAAATTGCTGGGCTAAATCCTGGAGGGGAGAGGAATTCAGAGAAGTAAACCTAGCACTTAGGGCTATTTCTTCCTATGCGTACATTTGCCACCCTGCAATAGTCAGCTGAAGGGCTGAGTTCATTTTTGTCAGCTTGAAGATCTAGGGAGTAAATTTGGGGTCTGGAGGATAAAGCAGGTGGGGCCAAGAGGTAGGACCCCTAAAGGACTACACTGTGTTAATAAAGGTGAACTGTACATAAACCAATTGTCCTAGACTATAGGTAAGGTTTGAGAATTCTGGTGGGTCCAGAAAATCTTAAATCTTCAACTTGGATGAAGGTCTCTGTCATTCTAATACTCTCAAGTCCTCCAAATCTTCTTTGAAGGAAGCTAACATCTTCCTAAGGCCTCAAATTATATCTATAAATTATTTCAAAATTTAGTATCTAGCAAATGATCAGAGGTAACTGGATACATGAAGAGACAAGATAGAAACAGCAGAAAAAACAGGCAATAGAAATGGTTGTGGTAGCTCGCGTCTGTAATCCCAGGAACTTGTGAGGCTGAGGTGCGTAGATTGCTTGAACTCAGGAGTTCAAAACCAGCCTGGATAATGTGGTGAAACATGTCTCTGCAAAATTGAACTCAGGAGTTCAAAACCAGCTGAATGTGTGGTGAAACATGTCTCTGCAAAAAATATATAAACTGTTAGCTGGGCGTGAGTTCAAAACCAGCCTGGATAATGTGGTGAAACATGTCTCTGCAAAAAATATATAAACTGTTAGCTGGGCGTGGTGGCATGCACCTGTAGTCCCAGCTACTCAGGAGGCTGAGGTGGGAGGATTGCTTGAGCTGGGGAGTGAGCTGAGCTGAGATCGTGCCACTGCACTCCAGCCTGGGTGACAGATTGAGACTCTATCTCAAAAAAAAGAAAAACTCTGGAACTGAAAAATGCAGCAGCTCAAGGGATGGTTAATCAGTTAAGGTCCAGTTAGGAAATCAGAAACTAGTGTAGGCATTTCAAACAGTAAATTTAAAACAGACATTGATTACAAATTAAAAAGGCTGTAAGAGTTAAAAGGAGAGGGAGCGGGGCTGGATAAAAGAAAAGAAAAGGAGAAGGGTGAGACACTCAGAGTTTAGAAACTGCTAAGAGCCTACATCTGCTATTGCACTATTGGAGACTCCTCAAATCCTTCCTAGACCAGAGCTAAAATTGCTAATAGGCGCTGTCTCTGGTCCATTTGAATCTGGACTCACTCCACCCCTGTTACCGCTATACTGACTGCCAACAAGGATCACAGTGCTATCTGTGCTACCTTCTGATCTCCCAGAAGTGCCTTCTATTGACAAGCCTAACAGGAACCAAGCAGGCAAGGAAGTCTGGGGAATGTAGATCGCAGAATTTCAGCCTCAGGAGAACAGAGCTGACTATAGAAGGATGGCTATGTGTGTGTGAAATGGGGAGAGGGCTCAGTGCCCACAGAAAATAACCAACCAGTACCCTTACTTTCAGATATTAAGCATCCACACACATCTTTCTACCCATATTTAAATTTCTGTGCCACAATAACAGTTTTATGCTTCTGTCTATGTAGATTTAACTCTCTGTTGTTTATGAAACTCATCATTGCCTCAGAAAGGGGAGAAAGAGTCCCACCAATTACTATTGTTCTCATTGGTGTTAATTCTTCTAGTTTAGTCACAGTCCCACCTGGATATTCTGTAGCTTGAAGATTAAACTGTAAATCACTATCACTAGTATTAGTGGCATTCCTTATACTCCTAAGGCTTGAGAGGGGGAAGGAAAAAAATAGTTATTATATACAAAGATATTTAAACCAAGCAATGAAGCACATTTACACAACTACTTTGGTACTTGTTTCTGTAACTGGTCATGAAGCTGTAGGTGATATTTGTAACTTCTTCCTCTACTTAATTTTTCATTGCTCCTGGCCAGCACTTTAGCTGGCAAATGTTCTATACCTAGTAGGGAAGCTGAATCTTCATTCTGGATTGGTCTGAGTCCTTAGTAGTTGAGGTGCTTATTAATTTTCACTATTAAATAGGTCTTAAGAGGCAATCCAGAGATTCCCCTGGGGTCCTTGACCTCATTGTGTAGCAGCAAACCAATATCCCTAATAATACTCTAGATCAGTCACCCCAACTGATACAGGGATCTCTTTGTTTTTTAGTTTAGTGTCATAAGAAGCCTAATACATTTAGGCATCAGTCTCAATTTTCAATTCATTTGAACCACTTTATGTGCCCTGGTAGAAGCATTCTTCCCTTGTGAACTAAGACCTGTAAACTAGCATAGTCCAAGTTTACAGGGATGAGAATTAGAAATTCTGTGAGAGGGTTATTAAGTATACTATTGAGAGGAATCAGTCCTAGTTTTATCCCTTGATTCCTGGACCCATGTATTCTGGCAATGGCAGAAATATAATTGTATGCTGATCACTGGTTCAAACTATATGCCACATTTTCTATAATAGCAATGAAATCTCTCAGGGGCTTGTCTCCCACCAGGACTAATAACTGAGTTTGGTTTTTTTTTTTTTTTTTTTTTTTTTTGAGACAGTCTTGCTCTGCCACCCAGGCTGGAGTGCAGTGGTGTGATCTCAGCTCACTGCAACGTCCGCTTCCTGGGTTCAAGTGATTCTCATGCTTCAGCCTCCTGAGTAGCTGGGATTACGGGTGCATGTCACCACACCCAGCTATTTTTTTTGCATTTTTAGTAGAGACAGGGTTTCACCATGTCGCCAGGTGGGTCTTGAACTCCTGACCTCAAGTGATCTGCCTGCCTCAGCCTCCCAAAGTGCTGGGATTATAGACGTGAGCCACCACACCCAGCATAACTGAGTCTTAACAGGTCATTATGTTATTCTACCAAGCCAGCCACTTCGGGGGGATTAGGTATATGGAAAGGCCTATGAATTTCATCCATTGCTACATTTATTTTGTTGTGAAATGAGTTTCTGATTCAGAAGTTATATTGTGAGGGATATCATGTCTATAGGATCATAGTTGGTTATATTAGAGGAAGGGACTTCAGATTCATATCCAGAAGTATCAGTTTAATAAGGACAATTTGCTGGCCCTTCCATTAGGGAAGGGATCCCATGTAATTAATCAGCCACCAGGTAGCTGGTGTTTTTTAGGAGGGGAGGCCTTTTTGGTGGCTCACTATGGGTCTTTGTTTTTAGCAGGTTAGGTACTCAGCAGGTTAGCAAGATTACCCTTGGTGAGGGGAATTTCATGTTGTTGAACCCATGAATAACCTCCTTCCCTGCTGCCATATTTAATTTGTACCTGAGCCCACTAAGCAAGCACTGGGGTGCTAGGGAAAGAGGCTGACTAACATGCACAGGAGGATTCAACTCATCTATTTGATGGATGGAGGCCTTCTCTGCAGTGGTTTCCCTTTGATAAACATCACATGGGACACAAATATCCTCACATTTTGTGCTCAGCCTGAGAACTCTATTCATATAC